ACACACACACACACACACACACACACACATTCACACATACACACACACACACACAGATCTATCTATCTATCTATATGTATATTTGGTCTCAATAAAAACACTGTCAAGGAAGGCAACGGGAAACCACCCTGACTGATCTTTTCCTTGGATTTATGACAGACATCTCAGGAAATGGCCCTGAGTGTCATGGAGAAAATGGATGTCATAAGGGACCAGTTGTAGGACAGAGCACTAGAAGAACACACACACACGTATATACATATATATGCGTGTGTGTGTGTGTGTGTGTGTGTGTGTGTGTGTGTGTGTGTGTGTGTGTGTGTGTGTGTGCATGGGTGTATCTACGTGTGTGTGCGCGTGCGTGTGTGTGTGTATGTGTATGTGTATGTGAACGTCTCTTGCCAAACCAGCTACAATAAAACTCTCCAAACGAAACTGAAAACCCGCTGTCTCCTCCTTCCGCCATCATTACACTCGCACGAGAGGAAAAACTAGCGATCTCACCTGATATGACATGACGTGACGAATCACCGACAAGCCATTTATCATGTCAACAAGTTACGGACAGTGATAGAATGAGAACCTGATTGATGATCTTCCTGACGTGTAACTCGTGGAACAGTTGAGGTTGGTGGGACAAAATAGATGAACAAAGCCAACGATAATTACGTTAGTCAGTAAAGTTAGGTAAGACACGACTAAAACCGATACTCTTTTATTTAACGAAACCAGTGACATTTATGTTGTTAATGATTAAGCGTTTCTTTTAGTCAGCAGTAAATCTGCAGTGAATACATACATATGTAACTGGAACTCTTTAGAGGGAGAGAGAGAGAGAGAGAGAGAGAGAGAGAGAGAGAGAGAGAGAGAGAGAGAGAGAGAGAGAGAGAGAGAGAGAGAGAGAGAGAGAGAGAGAGAGAGACGAGAGAGAGAGAGAGAGAGAGAGAGAACGAGAGAGAGAGAGAGACGAGAGAGAGAGAGAGAGAGAGAGAGAGAGAGAGAGAGAGAGAGAGAGAGAGAGTGAGAGAGAGAGATAACGAGAGAAAGAGAGAGAAAGAGAGAGAACGAGAGAGAACGAGAGAGAGAGAGAGAGAGAGAGAGAGAGAGAGAGAGAGAGAAAGTGAGAGAGAGAGACAGACAGACAGAGACAGAGAGAGGACGAGAATGTATGTTTACATCAAGGTTTACACACAGCCCTGGAAGCAATATAAGCTCATATTTCGGCACCAAGGGAATGGGTCGCCTCAGCTGAATATGTAGACTTTCCGAGTGACTGAAGAGGCTCAGTGGTATATTATTAGCACGGCATTTACAGCCACTCAACCGGGGGCGACGTTAGGTGGGCTGTGAACATCCTTGGAACGGCCGAGAGTACCATGGAAGGGCTGGACGGACACCTTTATTGGCTATGCTGGGAAAATCAGCGATCCTAGGTATGGTCCACACACACACATAAATGAATAGATAAATGAATAGATAAATGGATGAATAAATAAGCAAATAAATAAAAAATACAACATACACAAACACATACTGGCACGGTGTCGTTACATACTATGGAGTCCGTGAGTGTGTATGTGTGTGTGAGAGAATATATATATACATATATATATATACACACACACACACACTCACACACACACACACACACACACACACACACACACACACACACACACACATATATATATATATATATATATATATATATATATATATATATATATCTATCGGGAAAGCTGTATCAGTATATACATATATATAATACATACATACATACATATATATATATATATATATATATATATATATATATATATATATATATATATATATATATATATATATGACTGCCGCGATAGCTCAGTGGTTAAAGCACTGGACTCCGACCTTCGTGGTCCCGAGTTCAATTTCCCGTCGCGGCGGTCGTAATAATGCCTGCGCTCTGACTGCTGGCTCGAGCACGAGAAAACGACATATCGCCTTGAGAAGTTAAACGCAGGTGTCGTAGGGGAAGTCACCGCCGCGGCCGAAACGCGGTTGATTAGGAAGGGCATCCAATCAGGTAACGGTGACACTGCCATATAACCTCTCAATAGTGAATTGAGAGAGGCCTATGTCCTGCAGTGGAATGAATGGCTGTTAAAAAAAAAAAAAAAAAAAAAAAATGCATATATATATAAATATGTGTGTGTGTGTGTGTTTGTGTTTTAGTAATCCAGCACGCGGGTTCGAATCCTGCCCGAATGGTGCGAGTTTAAAAGGAAGAGCATCCACTCGGGGTAACAGTCTCCACCCCCCCCCCCCTCATGGGTAGCTTTTGGTAACAAAATCCGTTCCAGTTTTAAACCGGGAAATCTTAGGAAAAAGTCTTCACCTGCCAGAACCAAAGTCTTTGGATAGAAGGGAATTCATATCGTAAAACACGATTTAATAAAATTCATGGCGAGAATTATAGCATTATCTATCTATCTATCTATCTATCTATCTATCTATCTAT